AGGAAGTGTGAATCAGGTGGTATAGCGATACCGGATTTAAAACTATATTACAGAGCAATAGTAACAAAAACAGCATGGTACTGGTACCAAAACAGGCGGGTGGACCAATGGTACAGAATAGAGGACACAGAGACTAATCCACAAAGCTACAGCTATCTTATATTTGATAAAGGAGCTAAAAGCATGCAATGGAGGAAGGATAGCATCTTCAACAAATGGTGTTGGGAAAACTGGAAATCCATATGCAACAAAATGAAACTGAATCCCCTCCTCTCGCCATGCACAAAAGTTAACTCAAAGTGGATCAAGGAGCTAGATATCAAATCAGAGACTCTACGTCTGATAGAAGAAAAAGTTGGCTCCAATCTACATATTGTGGGGTCGGGCTCCAAATTCCTTAATAGGACACCCATAGCACAAAAGTTAATAACAAGAATCAACAAATGGGACCTACTTAAACTGAAAAGTTTTTTCTCAGCAAGAGAAACAATAAGAGAGGTAAATAGGGAGCCTACATCATGGGAACAAATTTTTACTCCTCACACTTCAGATAGAGCCCTAATATCCAGAGTATACAAAGAACTCAAAAAATTAAACAATAAGAAAACAAATAACCCAATCAACAAATGGGCCAAGGACCTGAACAGACACTTCTCAGAGGAGGACATACAATCAATCAACAAGTACATGAAAAAATGCTCACCATCACTAGCAGTCAGAGAAATGCAAATCAAAACCACCCTAAGATACCATCTCACTCCAGTAAGATTGGCAGCCATTATGAAGTCAAACAACAACAAGTGCTGGCGAGGATGTGGGAAAAAGGGTACTCTTGTACATTGCTGGTGGGACTGCAAACTGGTGCGGCCAATTTGGAAAGCAGTATGGAGATTCCTGGGAAAGCTGGGAATGGAACCACCATTTGACCCAGCTATTGCCCTTCTCGGACTATTCCCTGAAGACCTTAAAAGAGCGTACTACAGGGATACTGCTACATCGATGTTCATAGCAGCACAATTCACAATCGATAGACTGTGGAACCAACCCAGATGCCCTTCAATAGATGAATGGATAAAAAAATGCGGCATTTATACACAATGGAGTATTATACAGCACTAAAAAATGACAAAATCATGGAATTTGCAGGGAAATGGGTGGCACTAGAGCAGATTATGCTTAGTGAAGCTAGCCAATCCCTAAAAAACAAATACCAAATGTCTTCTTTGATATAATGAGAGCAACTAAGAACAAAGCAGGGAGGAAGAGCAGGAAGAAAAGATTAACATTAAACAGATACATGAGGTGGGAGGGAAAGGGAGAGAAAAGGGAAATTGCATGGTAATGGAGGGAGATCCTCATTGTTATACAAAATTACATATAAGAGGTTGTGAGGGGAATGGGAAAATAAATAAGGAGAGAAATGAATTACAGTAGATGGTGTAGAGAGAGAAGATGGGAGGGGAGGGGAGGGGAGATAGTAGAGGATAGGAAAGGTAGCAGAATACAACAGTTACTAATAGGGCATTATGTAAAAATGTAGATGTGTAACCGACGTGATTCTGCAATCTGTATTTGGGGTAAAATTGGGAGTTCAAAACCCACCTGAATCAAATGTATGAAATATGATATGTCAAGAGCTTTGTAATGTTTTGAACAACCAATAAAAAAAAAAATAATAATAATAATAATGAGCCAGGCACGGTGGCACACGCCTGTAATCCCAGTGGCTTGGGAGGCTAAGTGAGAAGAATCCCAAATTAAAGCCAGCCTCAGCAACTCGGCAAGACCCTGTCTCTAAATAAAATCAAAAAAGGGCTGAAGATGTGGCTCAATGGATAAGTGCCCCTGGGTTCAATACCTAGTACCAAAAAAAAAAAAAAAAGAATTTGGGGATTGGATGTGTGGCTCAGTGGTAGATTACTTGCCTAGCATGCACAAGGCCCTAAGAAGGAAGGAAGGGAGGGAGGCAGGCAGGCAAGAAAGAGAGAGAAATGAGGAAGGGAAGAAAGAAGGAATAAATAAAAAATAAGTTTTTAAATCATGTTGTTCTTAAAAATGAATATAAATTATATCTAATATATCCTATTTCAACTTTATCTCATCCTTCTTGTGTGTTTTATAACATGCACATTATTATTTAGAAGAATCTGTTATTTATTTTTAAGCATAGAAGAAAACATATATTTAGGACTGGTGCCCACAGAGACTGAAGGAAAAAAAAAAACCTGTGTTTTTATGGAGGGCAACATTCAAACTGGTTCATTCTTTCATTGAATTTACTGGGGCCAGGCATGGTGGCATATGCCTATAATCCCAGCAATGTAAAAAGCTGAGGCAGGAAGATCACAAGTTCAAGGCCAGCCTCTAAAACTTAGATCCTGTATCAAAATAAAAAATCAAGATTTGAGATGTAGCTCAGTAGTAATGCACCCTGCAATGGGGTTCAATGCCCAGTACCACAAAAAATAAAGAATTTATTGGGTATTTACATTGTGCTGAGGTCTGAGGTAGGTTCTGAAGCAAAATACAAATTTGGCAGGGAAGGTGTCTTTAAGGAGCTGTAGTCTAGTGGAGAAAGTATATAAATATATGATTAGCCAGGCACAGTGCCCCATGCCTGTAATCCCAGCACTAGAAGAAGCTGAGGCAGAAGGATTGCAAGTTTGAAGCCAGCTTGAACAACTTAGCAAGGCCCTATCTCTAAATAAAATACTAAAAACAGTTGGGGATATGACTCAATGGTTAAGCACCCCTGGGTTCAATCCCCAGACCACAAAAAAAAAAAAAAGATTAAAATGCAATGAGAGCAACTGGGGTTGTGGCTCAGTGGTAGAGCACTTGCCCAGCATGTGTGAGGCACGGGTTTCAATTCTCAGCACTGCATATGAATAAATAAAGATCCATTGACAACTAAAAAAATATTTTAAAAATGCAATGAGAGTAACTGAATTCAATGATTTCTAAAAGAAAAACAAAACAACTGAGGCCAGGAACTAAGCTTCTGCAATAAGCCATCCATGCCTCAACATATTTATCAATCTCTTAGAAGGCCATTGTGATTAAACATGTATTGTTATTTTTTTAATATTTATTTTTTGCAGTTGTAGATGGACACAATTACTTTATTTTATTTATTTATTTATTTTTATGTGGTTCTGAGGATGGAACCCAGGGCCTTGCAAGTGCGAGGCAAGTGCTCTACTGCTGAGCCACAACCCCAGCCCCGCATATATTGTTCTTATCCACAACTTCATATAGTTCACTTTCTAAGTAAGCACAACTCTGCAGAATATATACCACAAACTTATTTGGGGCTGAGATGTTTCCAATTCCCAAGACTAAGAATTATTTCTGTTCAGTCCTAGTTGCTATTTCTCTCCCTTCTACCTGGATTGTCCCTTTCCTGAAAGCCTCATCATTCTTGCTTCTTGTTGACCTGTACCTCCTAGAGTCAAAGGTCTTGTTCTCATCCTCTGTTTATGTCCTAATCAGGTGACAGTGTCCTTATTACCTGCATCATGGGAGGAAAGGATTCTCCCTTCTAATACCCTCTGCATAAAAACCACTATGTGCATTACTAGTTACTAGGAAATGGTTCTCTTTATAAATAGGAGACCCTGAAGCCTCCTGGCTTTCTTGAATTTCAGCACCCTGCTTCTTCTGGCCAGTTGACTACCTGTTCTACCTGTACTTAAGAAGATGGCTGAGTGGTTTTAAACACCGTCTTTTGGTAGAAGAATAACATGGACTGAGTTGATTGGACAAAACTTACCTGATCTGCAGTAACTTGGGAATTTCAGACCAATAGTCACATCAGTCATATTAATATTCACCTTAAACTTACAGTTGAAGTAACATTTAAGGTTTTTAACCAGTATAACAATATGACTTTATAGCTTGTAGGAATTACATTTCTCTCCCATTTTGCATTGTACATCTTAAACTGTACAGATCCATCTTTAGCCCATTGACATTTTAAAGTTGTGGGATTTTTCCTACTTTTGTGCATGAAATAATAAATCACATATGAATCCAAATCATGAATCATGAATCCAAAGAATGGTAGATCTATGTTTTAAGTGAAATACATCTAAATATATTCAATTAACTCATTGAAAATATTTTCAAACACCCATTCTATGTCTCATTGTCTATGAAGTATGAAGTCTTTGGCACTCACAGTTCTGTGAAGTATGTAAACTAATAAGTGCTATAGAGGACAAGAAGATGAATAGCCAGAGTTGTTCAAACAAGGAATGGAACATAAACCTGCCTGGGAAAGCAGAGGAAGACTTCACAGAAGAGGCAAAGCAGGAGCACAGTCCTGAGGAGGCATAGCAGTTGTCCAGATGCACAAAATGAGTGTTTCAGCCAAAAGGGTTCACTCAGTGCAAAGGACAGAAGCAGCCTGTAATGCTCAATATGTGGCATAGAAGGAGAATATGGGGTGTAAAGACAAGAGGCTAGAAAAAGGAAGGTGGTAGCCTCTCCTAAGGGATGTTGTACACAATAGAAGACATCAGACCAAAACCCAGAGGGCTCTGAAGAGTCCCCCAAATACTCCAATCAGAAGTGCTTCATGATCAGAGTTGTGTTTTATAAGACCACTCTGAAAGACATTGGAGGAAAAGAAGCCAGGTATGAGACGCTTGCCTAATTCCACTTAGAAATGCTGAGGGGCTGGACAAAAGCAGCAGCAGGACAATGGAGAGGAGAGCAGATGTAAGATGCATTTTTGGAGGCAAGATCAACAGGAGCTGGTGACAGGCAGGAGGTAGGAAATGAGAGGAGAGTGGAGTCCAGGAAGACTCCTGGGTTTTCTGGTGATAACCAAATCCTCCCCCACCAACAAAATTACCACGGTCTAGCTGTGAGGCCATCTGCCAACCTTCAGCTCACAGCAACTTTCATTTTCCAAAACAGAACCCATGAGCAAACAGACACAATTCCTAACTTATATCAGATCTTAAAGTGACACACAAAACAGGGAGAGAGACCAATCAGTTAAATGAAAATATTTAAATCATCAAAAATTTTCATACATTAACCACCAACAACTACAAAGTGCCAAACATCAGATTTCAGGGTGAGTAAATGAAATCATGATGAAGAAGTACAATATTATCAGGAAATTTGGTACCTAAAACAAACACCGACAAATCAATTAATAAGCTCCAAGTCTCTGAATGTCTGGCCAGGCCCATGACAGGCCAAAATGAAATACAGTGTCCACCCACCATGTGTTTACCTTCCTCTCACACTCTGAGTTAGAACACAGTTCCTCATAAATATTTAACTTAAACTGCAAAACCGAGAGATCAACTTGTCACATTAACACCAGGAAATTATGTTGAAAATCATATGGTGATAGCCTCCATTTTAATCAATATTCTAGTATTCACATTTATATTGATTTCAAAAGACAATTTAATATTAGGTATTTCATATTTACACTAAAAATTATCCGAGTCCATATTCAATTTAATGTGAAATTTCAATTAATTTTTGACACAGGAAAAAATATACATATATTCCTAACTCTGATACAAAACACTGATTATTTGGCTGTAGTCATCTGGTCTTAAGATGGTGAAGAGTCTTCGTAAAGAACTTCATCTACCTTCATGTCATGTTCATCCACTGGGACCTGCAGGCAAATCTGCTCTTTGAAAGCCAAGGCCAAGGTGTAGGGTTTCACTTCCTGACACTGCAGACAGCGCTTCAGGTAGGTGTCATAATAGCCTTTGCCCCTCCCCAGCCGGTTGCCATGTTTGTCAAACCCAAGACCTGGCATGAAGATGAGATCAAGTCCCCCTGTGGAAAAAAGGAATAAATTTGAGAGGATTAGCAGTTTCTGCAAGATCACTTTGGAATGAAATGTGGTTTTCTTTTTTTTTTTTTAAGTTGTAGATGGACACAATAGCTTTATTTTATTTATTTATTTGTATGTGGTACTGAAGAGCGAACCCAGTGCCTCACATTTGCAAGGCTAATGCTCTACCACTGAGCCACAACACAAGCCCCTGGTTTTCTTTCTTTCTTTCCTTTTTTTTTTTTTTTTTAGTTGTAGTTGGACACAATACCTTTATTTTATTTATTTAGTTTTATGTGGTGCTGAGGATCAAACCCAGGGCCTTGCACGTACTAGGCGAGCACTCTACTGCTAAGCCACAACCTCAGCCCCTGATTTTTATTTTTAATGACATCTATTCTTTCTCTGATTCCAAAAGAAATATATGATCACTGTAGAAAGTCCGGGGAGCAGGGGGAAGAGCTGGACAAAGAAAGAAATAATTACTCAGCAACTCAGTAAGTCTTTCATCCATCCTTCCGCAGTTCTTTCATGTATATCTTATGTAAAAATGCCAGATTCCCATGCCCTAAAGAGACTCTCTGAGGATACAGCCTAAGAACTTCTTCCTTTTTTCTAACATACAGATAATTCTACATATCTGTCAGGTTTAGGAACCATTGCCCCAGGATAATAACAGCTGGAGGAGTGGGAAAGGGTGAGGGAGAAGCTGAAAAGGACAGCGAGCAGGAGAGGTACCATGCAGCTCAGACAACCTACCTCTCTTCACTTCCCATCCCCCTGGAGAGGTGAGGCCAGGTTCTCAAGCTTCCCCAGATGCACATGAGGCAGGTTTTGGCCTACTCTGGGACATTGCATAAGTACAAAATGAGGTCCCATAACCAGTCACCTGGCAGGAATCTTCCCAGGTAACACAGGGACCAGAAATTGGCATGGCATCATCAGGATACAGCAGGCTGCTGGAGCTCAGGGTAAAGGGCAGGTTCTCAGAGTGGGAGTCTATGAAAATAGATAATAATGGTCACTAGGTGGAAGACCTCTGTGGATATTATGAACCTCTGGCAGAGAGGACAAGGACAAAGACAAGGACTAGTGCAAGAGCCAAGTGAGGTGTCTAGCCCAATGCTTTCCCCTGAGGCCTTCCTGTATTGGACCTTGGCCTCCTAAAAGCTTTTGTGGGGGCTTCTAGATGACCTACAGATTAGTCATGGATTAACCACTCAGACAACTTTGTTGCCTTACACTGGGTTGGAAGGCAAGAACTCTCCAGAACAGGATATTACTGGAGATGGTCAGACTGCCAGCTAGGTCGGCCCCTGCTTTCAGCAGCTGTTCTGACTTCCTGCAGAACTGTGAGGTTAACACAGCTTCTCTCTGGCTCCCAGCAAACACCTGTCAACCCTGCTTGCCAAAATCCAGCAGAGCAGATCTCAGGTTACAGTCATGACCTTCCTATGTAAACCTGCCTGTCCATTCTAATCCCCACTTACTAAAGGGCCCTGGTCACTGATCTGTGTTCCTGTCCAGCTCATTTTCTCTTAGGATTGACACTGACCTGTGCTTTGTCTGTTAGCAGAGCCTACTCAGGATTAAAGTTCAGCTCCTGTCTTCTAAACCTAGAACACACACTCACACACCTTCCTAGGACTCCTGGCCTCTTTTCAATATGGAAAGTTGTTTTGTAAAATACTCTGAGGGACTGACAGGTGGGGGCACACAATCTCTGCTCTTAAGGAGATGGCAGTTCAGTTAACATAAAACATACACATGTAAAATCCATTCCAGTGTAAAGCAACAATCTCTGCCAGTTGTCCCAAAAGCAATAGACACAATGGGTCTTCAGCAGAAGAAAAGTAATTCTAGCTAGGTGGTCAGGGAAGGAGGCATGGAGAATGTTAACCTGACCTGGACTTTTAAGGACATGTCAAAGTCATAACTGAACATGTTTCAGAACCGAAAGAAAGGTGGCAGGTGCAGAGTGATGAGAAGAGAGTGGAAGGCAGTTTACTTGCTAGGACAGAAGAATCAGGCTGAAGAGCAGCAGAAGAAATGAGTGTGCAGTTCCCTTGTGCACTATTAGCAGAAGTATAAAATGGAAGAGCTGCAATGGAAAACAGTATATAAGTTCCTTTGAAAATTAAAAACAGAGGGCTGGGGTTGTAGCTAGTGATAGAGCACTTGCCTCACACATGTAAAGCCCCGGGTTTGATCCTCAACACCACAATAGATAGATAGATAGATAGATACTGTGTCCATCTATAACTAAAAATATATTTAAAAATTTTAAAACAGAACTACCATATTATCCAGTTATTCCACTTCTGAATATTCATCCAAATAATTGAAATCAGAGTCTCTGGAAGACTTCTGTTCTTCCATCCTCATTGCAACATTATTCACGATATTTAATAAGTAGAAATAGCCTATGTGTCCATTGTGGCATAAATGGATAAATAAACTGTGGTACATACATACAATGAAATATTATTTAGCTATGAAAAAGATGGAAATTCTGCAATATGGGACAACATGAATGAACTCTGAGGATATTACAGTAAGTGAAAGAAGTAAGACACAAAAAGACATGCATTGGAGCTAGGGATGTGGCTCAGGGGTAGAGTGCCTGTCTAGCATACATGAGGTTTAATCCCCAGCACCAAAATAAATAAATAAATAACAAATACAATATGATTCTAATTCTATGAAGTATTTGGAATAATCAAACTTTTAGAAACAGAAAGTAGAATGTCAGTTGCCAGAGGCTGGAAGAAGATGGAAATGGGGAGCTACTGTTCAATAGGTACAGAGTTTTAGTCATACAAAAAGAAAATACTCTAGAAATCTGCTCTATAACATTACATTTATAATTAATACAACTTTATTATGCAATTAAAATTTTTAGAAGGGTAGATCTCATATGCTATTTAACACATTTTTTTAAAGGCAGAGCAAAAGGGAAGCCAACAGAATGGTTAAGATTTCCAGTTAACTCAATACATAAGAAAAAAAGGGCAAATTTTTGGAGCAGCCACATTTAAGCTCTTGGAAAAAAAAAAAGAGAGAATAAAGAAAAGAAACAGAAAGGTAAGAAAACAAAATTCTAGTTCCCTCAAGTTATAATTAATCTTGTTCCCTCTATTCTTGTTACTCCCTGTACTACAATTACAGCTCTGAAGTCTACCTTGTCCTACAGCTGGTTGTATATGTCTTTGTCTACCCTCCTGGACAGCAAATTTCCTTGTAGGCCATAATTTTTTCCAACTTATCCTTCATGCTTGAATTTTAATAGAATTCTAGGCCAAAGGAATCCTGAAAGATGAGTGTATTATCTGCAAATGGATCAATCCTGGCATGACATCCCATACTTTAATAACTCCAAGGCATATAGATTCAGATCAAGGTGGCAACATTAGGGAAAAACAAAATGATATAAGTATATCCTTGCATGGCTGCCAGTTCAAAGAGAGCTCTGCTTAAGCAAGAAAAAGAATAGCCTTTGGAGTCTTAGGTCACTCAAGACTCTGAAATGGCCCTTCATAGGCGGATGGGGGTCCTGACGTCCTATTTGGGATGTTGGCTGTTGGACCTCCTGCCCACAAGATTGCTAATTTCTCCATTCAACCATAGAGTCACCTATTGTTGCCCCTGGCTTCACTTCTTTGGAATGCCCTTCCTGGTCTACTGCTTCTGCTACTTGGTGAATTCAAGCATTTTCCTAAAACACATATGGCATTTTTTGCTTGATTTCATTCATTTGTTGTTACCCCTGAAGTTCTCCCTATGCCTTAGCACCATCATCACATGCATTACTTCATTACACACACACACACACACACACACACACACTCACCACACACATATTCATAACACTATGTAGAATGCTTCTGCCACCCACCTGCAAAGGTGAAGAATCAGTGTGGCATGATGATGATGCACAGGTTCAACATACTGGCTCAATGAGCTTCCTGTGCACAAGCTGGTCCCACCCTTGGCCATGCCCACTAATAAAGAAAGATCCTAGACCCACTGTAAATTATCACAAAGTTAAAACTCAGGAAAGGAAAGGATAAAAACCCTTTTTCTCCTGTATTTCTAGTTTTCTAATGTGACTTTGTACTCCAAAACTGCAAACTAACCTTGGAAAACTGACCCAGTCCCACATACTATATTTGCTCTAAGACAATGGTGTCCTCTGAAGGCAGGCTGGAGTGGTGGTTAGGAGCAAGGGCCACAGGGCTATCTTAGTTGTGTGGTCAAGAGCACTGCCCAACTTTGCTTTAATATTTTCATCTGCAAAACAGAACTGGTCCTGGAAATGAAATTAGATAATGCTAATAAACTCCCCAGCAAGGTGCCTTTTATGATCTTTATATTTACTATGATACTTTTTTCTTTCTTTTTTTCAATTTTTTTTAGCTGCAGAAGGACATAATACCTTTATTTTATTTGTTTATTTTTATGTGTGTTGAGGATTGAACCCAGTGCCTCACATCTGCTAGGCAAGTGCTCCACCACTGAGCTACAACCCCAGCCCTAGTTTTTCTTTTTTATATGAATAAATATCAGGCACTATTACTTGAACCAACTGGCAAGGAAAAGAGTAGTGCTCCTTCAGTACTTCAAGTCAGTTTTTTTTTTTTTTTTAGGTGTATATGGACACAACACAATGCCTTTATTTTTATGTGGTGCTGAGAATCGAACCTGGGTCCTGCCAGTGCTAGGGGAACGCTCTACCGCTGAGCCACAATCCCAGCCCTAGTACTTCAAGTCAATTTTTAATCTGAGCTTTCACAATCTTACATTAGAACTGGCTCCCAGCTCTAGGACTCAACACAGCAAGAAAACCAAAGGAGAGTGAGGTTATAGAATAGGAATCAGCAGTTTTTTCCTGTGAAGGTCCAAGAGTAATAATTTTAATTTTAAATTAATAATTATTTAATTATTATTATATAAATTTTATATATATATATATATAAATAATTTGCAGGCCATAGGTCTATGT